ACTTGACCCCCGGCTTCGGAGTGCGTCTGCAGACACTCGAGGACACTGTTATTACCATCAGAGCTGACCTCACGGCCTACAGAGCGGAGTTTGCTACATTCCGCATGGATGTCGCGACCATGTTCAGAGATTTATCTAGAGACATCCGCGAAGCCAGACCTACCTGTGCTACCTCCTTTTCCTGAGCTCCCACTATTTTCTATCATATAATCCCTCTCTCCTTTTGATACTTTATTATTATCACTGTATTATTTTTATAGTTGGTCTGTCGGCTTTGATATTTTTGTTGTACCTGCACTTTCTTTATTTTATATATCTATTTTTGCTATGGTTGTCATCTGATTGTATTCTCATATCTGTATGTTTGACTCCATCAGGTGCATCATAGTGACTTCAGTGAGAGAGTGCTACCCAATTTTCAAGACCACCCTTATACCTCTCTCATTTTTTTATCTGTTTATCCCATTTACACTTGCATGTCCACTATGCACTGATTATCCCATTTTATTATCTGATGAGTTTATCCAAGTGCCAATTTATAGGACCACAGTTAATCCCAAGTTTGGGGGGGCCCTGCCACCCACTTCGGATATATCAATCCCGATCATTCTTGCTTAGTTGCATTGGTATACTCTTTCCTTTGTTCTCTTTCCACATTGAGGACATTGTGCAATTTAAGTTTGGGGGGAATAGTGCCTTGCAGTGTTAGTTTTAAATTACATATCTTTTGAGCATGACTTGTGTATTTGAGGGATATTTCTATGATTGGTCCATATCTAGCCATGATTTTGATCTTTTGAGGACTATATTGCTTAAAATTTAGAAATTACTTGACTTGAGAGTCCAATACTCCTTGTATGCCTTATGAATGCCATTTAGGAGTAAATTTTTCAAAAGATTAATATCTTGCTTGCACTTGTAGTCCACATCATCCTGATTTTGTAATTATTTTGAGATTCACTCTAGTCTTCTACACTAGCACAGGCGCACACTAGCATTCATTTGTAGGGTACATGCTTTGTTAATTATTGAATTGGTTATATCCCAATTGAACTAGTAGTGCATTGAAAGCTTTCATTCTTAATAAAGGTGGATAATAACCCCTTTTTACTAAGTAGCCGGGATTCTAGCCTCATCAAGCACTGAACTTCTCGCGCCGAAAGGTGGAGGGCCCAAACTCTAGGTTAATAATTGAACTTGTTTGGTCAAAAAAAAAAGAGCAAAAGCAAAAGTAATAAAAAGTGAGGACTTCTCCCAAATGGTGAGAAGTGGGAAATGATTAGATGGTTATTGTCTTGATTTGTAGCCTAGTTGATTTGAGTTTGTAAGTCCGTAGGGGTGTCTTAACGCCTAATGCCTTAAAGCCGTCTGGTTTGGGAGTCATTAACCTAACGCTAGACCTCATAAATCGCTAGAAAGCTTAATAGATCAACACATTGCACTATACTTTCATCTTTGATCCTATAAAAAATAAATAAATAAATATCCGAGTGAAAAGAATAAGTGCACCTAGAACAATAAAGCTTTAATAAAAGGTTCACTTTTTGTCTTGATGATCGGTACTAGATTTGTATGCTAGTTTGAGGGTAAGGATGTGATTTATTCTTTAGTTGGCTAAGATAGCAACGCATTGATGCCGGTCCACTCAAAAGAATTCTAGAGTTGTTTTGATTTCATGATCACTTTCTTGATGTGTGGAGGACCATACTTGCTTGCTTGATATTGAAATTTTGAGAGATTGCTTGGAAAGGGTTGAAAAATTGCATACTTGAGGTAGTTTTCTCCCAATGCTTGTTCGCAATATTGGTACCTCTTTTGACAAAAATGAGCTTAATGTTTGTGGGTACCATTTCTGGAAACCCTCACGAGACTTCACTCGTCCACTAGGGGTAACCTAGGGGTTTAAAAGGCTTGTTGCATATGCTAAATGCAATTGTGTTCCCTACGAAAGTGGCGTTATCCATTTATTGTTTTCTAGTTCATAGCTGTATAGTTGTTCATCTCATTTCTTTACTTCGTAGTTCATTGCTAGGGACTAGCAATATTTAAGTTTGGGGGTGTGATAAGCACTGAAAAGCGTATATTTAAACCCCTTAAGCTTAGGCATTCTAGTACCTTTATCTATCTTACTTTACCATTTTAGATTGATTTTGTATTATTTTCATTTTCAGGCACTTATCCCGAAAATAAGCTAACTTAGCCAAATAAGAGCTTAATTGAAGCAATTCTGGAGAACAAAGAAAGGAGCAAAGTGGAGGAAGAAAGAAGCAAAATGAAGCAAAGCAGCAAGTTCGATCGATCTAAGTCCAAGGTTCAATCGATCGAACATTGATCGATCTCAGTACTTCAAGATAGATCCAAGCCTTAACCCAAAACACTTAAGTCCAAAAGTTCGATCGATCCAACATCATTCTTCAATCGATCGAACACCTTTGTCCTTATACAAATGATTTATCCTATCCACGGCTGAAGCACCCACCAACCACTTTTGTCCTTTTCCCATAAATATCTCCCATAAATATCTCGGATTTGTCTTTTTCCAAAAAGCTCAGCCAGTTGGATCAATCCAGCCTAAGTTCGATCTATCTCACTTACTTTCGATCGATCTCACTTACTTTCGATCGATCGAACTTCCTCCAGTGCAAAAAAGTTAAAATTCCATCTCATTGAAAGTTGTCATTTATCCAATCATTAGGGAATATTGTGTACATGACCCCAGCTCATTTTGGGGGTCATTTTGACCTACCTATATAAGGATAAAGATTGCTTTTTCAAAGGGGATGAACATTACTTTCATATCATCTCTTGGAGAGGAAGTTTAGAGAAGAAGAAGGCTAGAGACACCATTAGAGATCTTCATCAACGAGGAACAAACCTCTTCCATGGATTTAACCCTTGAGGGTTGGAGCATCCTCACCATGAGTGGCTAAACATCCTCTTGGAGCTAGAGTTAGCCCCAAGCATGCTTTATATATCTTAATCTTGTGTATTATTGAGGGATCTGTGTTGCAATTAATGTTTTGACACTTTGATATATATAGATCTTGTTTAATCAATGATTTATGTGGTTTAATACTTCCAATTGATCATTTCATTCTATCTATATGTCTATGTATGTTAGAATAGATGTTCATGTGCTTATTTCTAGATTTTGTGTTGTTGATCCATGTCTATGCGTATTGATGCCATAAATTTAGAGGTTGTCAAAACATAATGCTTAAATGAATGTTTTTGTGATTCTCTAGATGGTTCATGCTCAAATCTTGATGGATTGTGTCTCCTTCTTAGCTAAATTAGTTTAATTTCAATGGCTTAATTGTAGTTTAGTGATAGTATAATATTAGATGGGAAGACAATCCATGCTAGTTGTTTGATGCTCCATACTTTTGAATGCAAGTAGCATTTGTCTCTAATCTTGTGTTGTATTTAGATTGTAAGCCTAATGAAAAGGGCCAATGATTTGTTAGTTATATTATACTTTTCACATGCTATTTAGACAATATATACTTAATTCCTAGATATATTGTGCTTTTGACATGTTGGTTAGACAATGTATACTTAATTAGTCATCCTTGCTTGTTGAATCAACCGAATACACACACACCAATATTACAACACCCTAATTGCCCTCATTAATCACTTGTCAATAATATAGAAATGCATTGCTTGGTGGTGATCTCTAAACCCCAAGACTTTTCTCTCTCCCTTTCTTAATCTCCATTGCATTCAATTACTTAGTTTAATTTTGTTGCTCTTTAATCAACCTACCAACCAATTGTTTAATCACTCGACCTACTAACCCTAATAACGATTCCACAATCAACTCCGACTCCAATCCCTTGGGACGATCCCTACTCGCCCTAGCTATATTTATAGTGAAAGGTAGTAGTGGCTTTTACAAATGTAAAACTTGACCCTCGCCTAAATTGCACATTCTCAAACGTATGGTAGGACGATGACTAGAACACTCTCCTTTTGTACTGATTTATCTATTCAGCCTTATCTGTCAAACAATGTTGATAATGTAAACACAATGTTCATATAATTTTTGAGACACAGAGAAAGTGAGGAAGAAAGAAACTCATGAGGTAAATTGTGGTTGAAATAACAGTAAGCTGAACAGGCACCAAGCTGCCATCTCCGGTTGTGATAGCCAATACAGTATAAGAATCACTCACATTTGCTGTAAATATATGTTCACCCTAAATATTTCAATTTAGGATAATAGGAAGATCAACTCTGGTACAAATTTTAGGGAAAAATATATCTGCAACAATTCTCCATTAAAAAAAATATTAAAAAAGATAAACACTAGAATTGAACTTCAAAAAGCTATTTATATTAATTGACGCTCTCTGGCATGCATATGATAAATTAGACACTTGAGAACAGTTTATGCGAATATGTATATTGCATGCTCTGGCATTGTGAGGAAACAAGTCATAATGACTTTAATATGATGTTATTTTCCTAGCCTTCCGTAAGCATGTTACATGTAAGCCCGTCCATTGTCACGTAATCCCATAACCTCCTTGCTTTCATGGCCCTCCAGCTGCCAGAAAACTCACACACCTATGATTTTTAAATAAAACTCACACACCTATGATTTTTAAATAACACTCGACATAAGACTCATACGAGGACCTAGGAATATAATTTCAATACCAAAATAAACCACCAAAGGAATAATACAGATTCAACTTAGAATAAGTTACATCACACTTAGACATGTTTTCTAAATAAGTTAGAAATACTATCACAGCATAGTTATACTAATGCAGTAACGGAGCTCCAAGGAATTAATAGTAATTACAAAATAATTCCATATTTAAGGCCTTAACACCTTACAAAATAACTCCACTAGAATTAGCAATTATATAACTATTCTATCCAGGTATAGGAGCCTTGCACTTTCGATGATTATGACCATTCTCGCTGCATCACGAACAATGTAACGGCCTTACATTTTGAAATTGTGATTCGATTCATTTAATACGAGGTCATCCAGGGGGACGTGTTACTGTAGGAGGCCTAAGATGGGAAGCACTTTCACCGTCAGCAGCAGCAACAGCAACAACAACAGCTAGATTCGGCATATCATGCATGGGGATAGAAGATATGAGATGTTCGCATAGTTTTTGTTGTGTTTCAACCCTAAACCATGGATCAAGCATCTCATAAATATTTAAAGATAATTCATGGATGGCATAGCATGCATGCGAACAAGGAATCCCACTCATGGTCCACTTCAAACAACTACAAGAATTTTCACTGCCAAATACCACCCTGAATGGTTTTCTGTCTTGATCATATACTGTACACTCAGTAGGCGAAACACGCATCGACTGAAAACCAAGTGCTAACTCTTGCTCTTTTTGGATTTTCTCCTTAATACGATCCCCAACCAGGATAGTCCACTTCTAAACGTCCAAACTCTTTTGGTATAAAAATTTGCTGAGTCTTTGCATGTGTGTATCCATTAGCCTTATGATTGAAAAAACCCTTTCTTCTTTCACCCATGCATTGAAGGACTCTACTTGATTGGTGTATAATTTATCCCAACGCTTGGAAGTAGACATAGCATTTGACCAATGTTCAGGTGAATTCGCCAAAACCCAATCGCACAACTCCCCTCGAAATACCCGCATGGCAGCCAATGCATTCTCATACTCATCTACAGTTCGAGCATATGCAATTTTATCGAGTAATTTTTTTGCTTGCTCTTTGCCCAAAGCCCTCAATCCTAAACTTTGTCTCCCAAGAATGGATGTAGAACAATTCGCCGTTAGGTGATGAAGACACCATGAGTGGTACTGGGAGCCAAAAATATCTCTAATACAGCTTATTAGGCTCGGATGCCTGTCAGTTAAGATTGTCACAATGCGACCATCTAGAATCTCTTTCACCTTGCTCAAGAACCAATACCAATCATCATCATTCTCACAAGAAACAACAGCATACGCCAAAGGCCATAAGCCATCATTCGCATCGAACCCCCTTGCACCAAGCATTATTCCTTTATAATTGCCACTCAAGTGGCAAGTATCGATTGCTAACATGGGCCTGCAATAGTTGATGAAACCTCGTATGGAGCACCCACAAGCTACAAACACTCGCTTAAATCTCCTATCATCCGTGCACTCCCAAGATGTAATTATCCCTGGAATATATTCTGCTATTCGTTCATACAACCATGGGACTAAAATATAGCTATCCTTGGGATTTCCCTCAATGATATGACGTGCACACTCCTTAGCTCTCCACGATTGCATGTAAGTCATTTTAGCAGAAAATTCACCGTTTATGTCTGTGGAAATAGTCTTAGGGGTGCATTTAGGATTGTCCCTAACCTTGTTCACAATAGCTTGACCCATTTCCTTCGACCAAAAAATGGCTGTATAATCTGAAATGTCTTAAGTAATGTGAGTGTGAACATTATTAAACCGCTTGATTCTCACTATATCACCACTTCCTTTACAACCAGCTGACAATTTCCATGGACAATTATTAACCTTGCACACAACTCTATAATATTTTTTGCTATTGTCCAAGTACTTGACCCGAAAATGATTACGAAGACCAAACAAAACGAGTGCATCTTTGAAATCATTTAGGCTGTCAAAAAGCTGATCCACGCAAAAAATGTCATCAATGTGTCGTAAAGAATCCCGATGCGCATTTCTTGGAGGAAATAAAGACGTTGACGCAACACTTTGCGGAAGACCAATTGGCGATGTGGCTTCAACAAATTGTCTACAAGTGGATAAAAAGGTATATTGAAAGTCACATAACCTATGCAACGCATACATTAATGTATTACTTTAAATATATATGTCTTACCTCTCACTATGATTAGTAGGAATTGTGCATCATGCAATTACAGGCGTTGCATCTTCCATATATATATTTAGCATGGGACCACTCACTACAAGCATCACTCTAAATCCAGATTCTCCCGTCATCCTCAAAAGTTTATTCTTGTTAGTTTCGGTGGTATAATATATGACTTTACCACTCATGTTTGAAGATGAACGTTGTTGTAACTCATTTATAAATGATTCATATGTTGTTGTTGTTGTTATCATAAAAGGGTCTGTGACACCGCCGATGTATGTAATTTCCCCATTCTCATTTTTGTCAATTTTCCCATCAAATCGACAATAGCATATAATTTGTCTCTCATCCATTTCTCCAACTGTTTCAAAAATTGACTCATTAGTTAAAAAAAAAAAACTAAATATGAAGTTCAAAAAATAATGAAATATAAAACAATTAAAGATCATAATTATATAATGTAATTTAGAGATCTGTTTATAGCTAAACACTACCAATTCCCTCAATAGGGATAGGCGGTGTCAAGATTAAACTTTTCCTAAACACACACTACAGACCTTTTTTAAATCAAAATACAACCACAAAATCAATGCTATTGATTACTAGATACTTATATCACTATGTGTACAACAAACATATATACAAGATGAGGGAGATTATGAGATGAATTGAGAGTTAAATGGGACAATATAAATTGAAAATAAAAAATTGAGAGTTAAATAGAGAGAGAGTAGAGTGTTGAATATTTTTCACACACATAATTTATATGTGTAAGTCTTGAAAATGAGGGAGACAAGTACAAGGGAATGTTGGAATAATAAATTAATACTAAGTACATTTTTTTGATAAATTAATACTAAATACATATATTAAAAAAGCCTCATTTATAGAGTTTGCTAGCTTTTGCATCAATCCCATCATGTGTGTAGATGCCTAAAGACACATTACACAGAGGTATACTCTACATGCCATTTGAGAAAGAGGCAACAATCTTGAATAATTCTTGATCTAAATTGACTTATAATAATTAATTATACATAAAAACTAATTGGACTACCTACGTGTTGGTGGCTTTGAATTTTAACTCCTAAATTCCTAGTTAAAGATTTAAGACTATGGAATGAAGAAATAGAATATGTGTGTGTATATATATATGTATGTAATGTGTATATGTATATACACACATAACACTAGATCAAACTTAGAAGAAGTAATTTAAATATATAGAGAATGCTATCGTTAACAAAGGTTGGAATTTGAATAACTGACCAACAAATGATTTTCACACATCACCCATTATGACAAAGAAATATTAATTAATATAAAATACCCATCTATTACGTTAGATTATGATTTATAAACGTATTCAAATGAACACTTGTTGCTCATTGTTATCTTTGGAGTCTAGGAGATAAAAGAAAGCTTTTTAAGCTTATCCTTTCCAACTTTTCTTTTTCTTATACACTTTGTTTTCTTCTGCTTAACAAAGTATGCCTCCAAGATCACATGTTTTTAAGTCATTTTGACAAATCCATTAAGAGAATAATAATCCACATCAATGGAGCACTGTTTATTTAATTTGCTTTAAAACTGAGGTCCACATTCCACAATGATGAGCAGTAAATTAAGATAAATGGGATGATGAAACCTATATGCTACACACTCAGTCCAGCAGGAAATGATTGAACTATTGCCTACTTTGGTGTCCAGGGCAGGCTAAGAGGTCTCCATCTAATTTAATTTTTTTAAAATTGCTAAAATTTGAAGAAATTTTAGTATAGTATTGGTTATTTAATTTTAAATGATTTAGCGACGTTAAATAAATAAAATCTAAAGGTCCTAATCCACCAAAATCCAAACTTGATCTCAAATTTTTTATAAGCATTTGATATCAAAATTTTTGGATTTCCATGTTGAGACTAATCCTAAAAGGCTCGTAAACTGATCCAACAAGTCCACCATCAAATACTTATATATGTTTTTTCTTTTTTCAAAAGCAAAGGAGCATAGATTAATGATGAAAAGAAATAAAATCCAATTGCAATATGTTCAATATATACACATAGATACATATACATATGTGTGCATGTGTTGATGAGTGTGTGTGAAAAAGGAATCAAGAGGAAGGAATTGAACAGAAAAAGTTACGATTTGCTTACTGATCAGACAAAGGAATCTGAGCCGTGTGTTATCATTTAGGGCTTAAGACTTGCTTCAATTGATGGCGAACTGGAGGAGGTTTGATTAAAAGTGTATCAGTCTTTAATGAACAATACCACAAATATAAATATGCATATATTTCAGATTCATCAACACAAATAATCCTAGTTAGTTGTTAGGATAATAAGACTTCAAAGCCACACAAGTGGCACAATTCATAATTCATCTAATGATAATTTATATGAAGTAAATTAAGTTTCTTCAGGTCTCTGACTTTTAAGTTGTTTCTCAACTGTGCCTTAGTTTATTTGATTATAGGTTTTGATTTTTCTTTGTTCAGTAGTTGATTAATGCTAAGGATCAGCTGATATGCTGAGTTTGGTGGTATGTTGCACCGTAGCAGAATACTCTAATTGGTTTGATATATTATCTTGCACCAGTATGTATTTAGTAGTTCTACTTATGTGAACAAATGATTCTTGTATGTGAACAAATGATTCTTGGGGATAGGCTGTAAAACACATTACCAATTAGGTTCTGCTGAGGATTTAGTCTGCAGTCATCAAAGAGCCTTGAATATACAGGTTGAATGAAAAAAACTACCAAAACAAATAAAATCATTCTTCTTTGGCCCTCTGACTATGTGGGCATGGAAGATTCCCATAAATATCTTAAAATAGAACAAATTGTTAAGTTTCAGAATTCTTTCTAATAGGAACCATTTTTTATTTTTTATTTTTTGTATTACTTACTTTTTCCACTTCTATTACCACCCTTCCCCATCTAAGTGACTCAGCTTGAGTGGTATCTCATGTCGCTTCCAAATAAGGATTCAATTTCCATGTAAAAAATAATAGTAAAAAATTGATAAATTCTGACTCTTTTTATAGGAGGATACAGATATAGCTGATTTTACTCATAGCTATCGAGCAATATTGTGGTGTGTATTGGTTGTAACTGACAATGTGAATTTCAAATTTCAAATGGATATAATGGTGGTTAGTATTAATGGTTTTAACTATTTTTTGATATTTCCATTAAAATGGTATCGCTCTTTGATTTTGGATCATGTGTGTGGTTATGAAATTATGTGTTGATTTGTAAGGTTGCTTTCAGATTTGGATGAAAATAAAATAAAATACTCTATAGTTTGCTGATGTAATGAGCTTAAAAATTTAAAATTATATGCTTTGAATATATATCTATATCAGTCCATGGCAACTACTGCTTAATGATAAATAAGTCGTGAAACTACTTTGATCATATGGAGTTTATTAGTTGCATCATGATTACTACTAGTTTTGTGTATGTGTTCCATTATGTACTAATGAATGTGTGGTATTTAGGCCTATGGCCAGTGTGTGTGTGTTAAAATCATGTATAAACATACATATATATGACAAAGTTGTGTTATGTTTAAATATTTTAGCTCAACTCTTGTAAAAATCAGAACAAATTCATGTTGGTTTGGATGACTCCTAAAGGTTTTTTTTGGAAGGTTAAACAAGTATTATTATACCGTTTCTCTCATGCCTTCTCTTTCTCCTTCCAGATCGAGGTACGTTAAGGTTTTCTCTCCCCTACTGGCACACGTGTTCTATGGACCTATATTAGAGTATAGTTCACACTATGATTCTTAAGATTGATGTGCTTATTGACGGTCTAGTGCTGTTTCAATCTCCTCCTAACAGCACTTAACATAATCATAAACTAGATTTAGCTCAGCCATTTTGTCTTGAAGTTTTTCCTCAATCTCATTGGGAAGCTATTCATGTAGTGGCTGAAATATGTTTGTTTTTTTATGATCCAAACACACTCAAACAAACACCAAATAGTGACCAATAGCTAGCCGCAGAAGTTACAATAGGTGTAGCTAGCCTATGACAAGTGTGTTTGTGTTAAAATCCAGGTCATAAAATTCTTTTTAACAGGTGTAAATCTAGCTCCCATTCTCACGATTTGTTTGTAATTTAATTTTGTTGCTTTTGCGCTCTATCTACCACTTTATGCGACTTAGTATAAAACCAAATATAAATATAAACTTACTGAATTTTTCTGTTACTATCAAATACCATTAAAGCAAAATTACAAAATTAGACCCTCCCTCACAAGAAACAAAATTTTAAGAATTTATTAATCATTCTAATCGATTGCAATAGGCTACCAACATAGTTAATTGAGAGTCGATAATTCAAAGAGCATTTCATTTTATTTTTGTCCAAATCTGAAAGCAACCTTACAAATCAACACATAATTTCATAATCACACACATGATCCAAAATCAAAGAGAGATACCATTTTAATGGAAATATAAAACAATAAGATGTTTGGATACAATTGAAAATCAAAAATTAAAAGTACATAAAGCACCAGATTTAAA